TGATGACGTGTTGTCTATTAGGCTGTGTTTTTTTTTTATTCTTTTTGGGGGCATTGACGAATATTGCTGGCTTCAATCGCTCAATTGAAACCGTTTGTTCATCACCAGCCAATGTCTCAATGATAAAATATTTTTCTTCTTTTTTTATTACTCTGTAAGGCCCCGAATATGGAGCTTCCAGAGGTTTTCTAATCCTGTCAGTTCGCAGCCATACATGCGTTGCTGTTTTTAGTTCTTTAGGTATAAAAGATTTTTGAGTTGTATGTAGCTGTCCTTCTGAAAGGAGGGTTATATCCAACTCTTGCATCTCTTTGGCAATTTTTTTTATGTCATTTTTGGACAAGTCAGGATACTCCTGGTCAATTATTGGTTTTGGAAGTAATAACTGGGTTCCTGTGACAGCAGTGGCTGGGGAGAAACCTTGCTCATTAGGCATATTCTAATACCAAGCAATATAATTGGCAATGCATCCAACCAGCTCTGCTTTCTTGTCATGATTGCTGTTTTAAGAGTACGGTGTAACCTTTCGATTATTCCATTGGTTTGAGGGTGGTAAGCCGTTGTACGGAGCCTGTGGAAACCTATTATAGCAGATAGGTCCCTAAACAGTTCACTTTCAAATTGACTTCCCCTATCGGTGACAACATGTAATGGGACTCCAAAACGAGAGATCCATGTATGCAGGAACGCTAATGCTATGGTGGTGGTGGAGGTGTCTTGGAGAGGTGTAGCTTCTACCCATCTCGTTGCTCTATCAATGCACGTAAGGACATATCTAGCTGGAGATGTGTATACGCCGTCATAAGTGGTGGTGGGTAACAGAGGACCAATGATGTCTATATGCACGGTTTCAAATCTTCCTGATGGCAGAGAAAAAGGTGTAGTTTCTGTTCTAGTGTGTCTGGAAATCTTGGACTGTTGGCATCGTAGACAGCTCTTGACCCAAGATCGTATGTTTTTCTCCATTTCTGGCCAGAAGTACCTAGCTTTAATCAGTTTTGTTGTTGGCGTGGGTCCTGGATGGGAGATGTCATGGAACATGTCGAAGATTCTCCTACGAAATGGCTCAGGTATGTATGGTCTGGGAGTAGATGTTGATAGGTCGCACCAGACGGATGACCCTTGCAACTCAAATGCTTTAAGTCGGCTCCTGTATGTGTCGATTTCCTCATCCTCTCTTTGTGACTCACTGATAGCTGGTAGATCACAGGGGTCTACGGTCACCGAAAATGTGGGTCGAGATAGACAATCAGCAACGATATTTTCATCTCCTCTTATATATTGTACATCTGTGATATACTCTGTCATAATTGATAAATATCTTTGTTGCTTGTCCGATTTCATCGGTGTTTTCTTTCTGAACGCAAGGGAAAGAGGTTTGTGGTCTGAAAACAAAGTGACATTTCTGCCTTCAATTTGTGGTTTGAAGTGCAAGACTGCCTGATATGCTGCCAAAAGTTCCCTGTCAAAGGTGGAATATTTCCTCTGGTTTTCAGACAGTTTTTTTGAATAAAACCCAATGGGGACAGGATCACCATTTATTATTTGATGTAACGCTGCACCAACTGCATGATTGGAGCTATCCGTGACTAAGTGGTATTGCATGGCATCTGGATCAGGGTAAGTCAAAGCCGATACTTTGGCAAGAATGTCTTTTATGGCAACGAATGACTCACTTTCAGTCGGGCTCAGTTTTAATACTTTTTCCGCTGGACTATGTTTGATGGCCTCAGTTAGTGGCAGTAACACATCTGAGGCTTGAGGATTAATTTCCTGTAAAATTTACCATACCCAGGAATCGACGCAGAGATTTGGAATCTGTGGGTTCTGGAAAATTTTTGATGTCTTCAACTTTCTGTGTTGTTGGCTTTAATCCTTTCATGCTCACATTATAGCCCAAGAAGTCAATGGAGTCTTTGTAGAACTGACATTTTTCAACAGAGATTTGAAGGTTGTTTCCTTCGAGAATTGAAAGGACTTTCTTGAGATCTTTGTGATGTTGTTCCTTAGATTCGGAGAAAACAAGTATATCGTCGATATATGTGAAAACACAGTCTACATCCATAAATATGTTGTCCATAAATCTCTGGAATGTAGAGCTGCTGTTTCGTAGACCAAATGGCATGAACAGGTATTCAAAGAGACCAAATGGTGTTATCACAGCCGATTTTTCTATGTCTGCCTTATTCATGGGGATCTGGTGATAGGCCTGTAGGAGATCGATTTTTGAAAATACAGTCTTCTTGAAGAGTTTAGATCCGAGGCTGTTAATATTTGGTATTGGATATCTGTCTGGTTTTGTCAACTGGTTCAAATGTCTAAAATCGCCACATACTCGCCATTTTCCTGGGGTTGACTTGGGAACTAGATGTAGTGGCGAAGACCAGGGGGACTTTGACGGTTTAATGATTCCAGCTTGTAAGAGTGCCGCGAACTCCTGTTTAGCTGATTTATATTTTTCTTCTGACAGTTGTCGGACCTTGGCATGAGTAGGGGCGCTATCTCCAGTATCTATGACGTGTGTTACTTTCGTGTTAGACACTAAAGACTGTCCTGTACGTGGACTGGTTAGTTTTGGAAATTCTTGGAGGAGGGACTGCACTTCTTCTGGAAGGTTATTGTGGTTATTCACAGTTATACACTGAATCTGTGCGGTGACTCGTCCTCCTTGTGTATATCGATGGGTTTCCTCATCAATTAGCCTGCCCTTTTTGCAGTCTAAGATTAATCCATAGTGGCGCAGAAAATCTGCTCCTAAGAGGGGGTTGACGGTATCCGCTATTACTACGGTCCATGTATATGAACGGCGTAGGCCCGGAATCCCAATATCCACTACTGCTTCGCCAAAGCATTTAATGTTATTCCCATTTGCTGCTGATAGTGTTACAGGTGTAGGGTTTAAGTTCAGACCGAGTGCCATTCTCTGTGGTAAGATTGTTATAGAGGCACCCGTGTCTATCACAAAATTGACCTTATTTGTGTCAATTTTAGTAGCAACCTCAAATAGTTGCAAATTGCCGGTTGCTGATGCAATTCGCATTATCAGTTTTCCGAGGCTTGGGTGGTAGGGTTTCTGGCGGGTGAAGACGGTCTCGAAGTGGGCATTATATGACAGCCGGACTTGTTTGGCCACCTGCACCATGGTTTGCACGTCCTCGACTTTTCTGCATAATATAAATGTCCACGACATATTCGAGGCCTCTGGTTCTCATAGAATGGTCCGGAGCTATAGGTCGTTCTAGGCGTGGCGCTGGAAGAGGCAGTAGATCTGGAGTGTCTGCTTGAATGCGGCATAGTCGCGGCTTGTATCAACCTTGGGTTTTAAAAATGGTGTTATTTCGTCAGCCAATGTACCCAGTTCCATCAAGGAGGCATTTTTTACTGCTGCTATTACGGGTGTTATTTCCGGGGATAGTGCCTGAATGAACTTATGTCGAACAAGTTCATCTCCGACACCAATCCTGCTGGCTGTCGACATCAGCTCATGGAGATAAGCTGAAGGCCTCCCTGTCATTTGAGTATTAGCCATTAATTTAGCGAACATCTCTGGTTTTGTCCTCTCGTGTCTGGCCATTACTGCGTCTTTTAATTCTGAATATTTTTTAGACGCTATAATAGCGGACGGTAAGCTGGATATCAATTCTGGAGGTAGAACAGACAAAACATGATAAAACTTGGTTTCTTCACTTGTTATGTGTCGCAATTCAAATTGTGCCTCACAAATTGCAAACCAACCATCTGCTGCTGTGTGCATAAAGACTGGGATTTTGACTGATATAGCTGCTGCATTTTCTTCCATTTTAGTGACTTACAATAAGGTAACAAGATGGAGAAAAAACAAAAAAAAAACAGAGCAAGACGATAAAAAAAAATCTCTGCTGGACGGAACGTATTTGTGTTAACAGTTAATAAAAATATATTTTTTTTTTTTTTTTGTGTGTGAGTGCGATAAAAGGATGAAAGCAGTTACTCACGTATTTAATTGTTTTTTTTGTTTTTTTTTATCACGGAAAACTTGAGTGTAGGTATCACGTCGGGGTCACCATTATAGATGTTACGGCTATTAGTGCTGGATTGATTATTTCACCTAAAAACTCGTTGAATTTCCTCCGTTGCTGAAATAAATAGATAGAGAAAAAACGGAAGGATACGGAGACAATGGAGGGACTGTTTAGGACTGATTTTATTTCTTTCTATTGGATTCAACGACCTCTTGTTGGGGAATTTCCTCCCAAAACAGTTGGTACGTATTCACCAGTCAATGGTCCAACAGAAAAGCCCCAGCGTTTCTTCTTTTAAGCGTCTGCTCTTTTTAAGCGTCTCTCTTTTAAAAAAAAAACGTCTGCTCTTTTATTCTTTATTTTTGCACCTGCGTAATTTGTCTTTCCTGTCAGAGGACTCTTGGGAGATTTTAATGTTTATTTTATTATTTTTATACTTTTATTTAATTTTGTATTTTATTTTATTCCCACATATGTTTGTTTGTATATGTGTACATTGATTAGTATAAAGCCGCTAATTAAAATTAAATTATAGATCAATAATATTTTATTTTTTTATTTTTAAAGACATCTTAAGTTATATTGTTTGTTGATATACCTAATATGTAATCAGAACGTATTCATTTTTTTATGCAAATCCTAATTTTTTTTACCTGATTCGGGCAGAGCATTGGGCAGTTATTAGGCTCTTATAACCGACTAGATTACCTTTGACCCGTTGGGTCACGGATGGTTCAGGTTATAAAATATTGGGAAAAATTGTCTGTATAAAGAAAGTTAAAATAAAAATACTTACTCATCACATACTCTTAAACCTTATTCACTTAAAATATTTTTAAAAATTAGATTAATTAAAAAAATATTCTTTTAATATGCCATAAATATTTTTAATTCATATTCACTTGAAAATATTTTTTTCCTTCTTTTAATATAACAAAAAATGATTTTTAATATATAAAATAATGTTCGTTTAAAGAAGGCTGAAATATAAATAATCACAGAGAAATGGAAAGAGGGAATGGTGGAAAGAGAGAGGGTGTAAAGAGGGAGAGGTGGAAAGAGAGAGGGTGGCAAGAGGGAGAGATCGAAAGAGATAGGGAGGAAAGAGGGAGAGGTGGAAAGGGAGAGAGAGAGAAAAGAGGGAGAGGTGGAAATAGAGAGGGTGGAAAGAGGGAGAGGTGGAAAGAGAGAGGGAGGAAAGAGGGAAAGGTGGAAAGAGAGAGGGAGGAAAGAGGGAGGGAGGAAAGAGGGAGAGGTGTAAAGAGGGAGAGGTGTAAAGAGGGAGAGGGAGAAAGAGAGAGGGTGTAAAGAGGGAGAGGTGGAGAGAGGGTGTAAAGAGGGAGAGGTGGAAAGAGAGAGGGTGGAAAGAGGGAGAGGGAGAAAGAGAGAGGGTGTAAAGAGGGAGAGGTGGAAAGAAAGAGGGTGGAAAGAAGGAGAGGGGGAAACAGGGAGAGGTTGAAAGAGAGAGAGGGTGGAAAGAAGGAGAGGTGGAAATAGAGAGGGTGTAAAGAGGGAAAGGTGGAAAGAGAGGGTATAAAGGGGAGAGGAAAGAGGGAGAGATGGAAAGAGAGAGGGAGGAAAGAGGGAGAGGTGGAAAGAGAGAGTGAAAAGAGGGAGAGGTGGAAATAGAGAGGGTGAAAAGAGGGAGAGGTGGAAAGAGAGAGGGTATAAATGGGGCGAGGTGGAAATGGAGAGGGTGGAAATGGAGAGGGTGGGAAAGAGGGAGAGGTGGGAAAGAGGGAGAGGTGGAAAGAGAGAGGGAGGAAAGATGGAGAGTGGAAAGAGAGGGTGTAAAGAGGAGAGGTGGAAAGAGAGAGCGTCTAAAGAGGGAAAGGTGGAAAGAGAGAGGATATAAATGGGGCGAGGTGGAAATGGAGAGGGTGGAAAGAGGGAGAGGTGGAAAGAGGGAGAGGTGGAAAGAGAGAGGGAGGAAAGATGGAGAGGTGGAAAGAGAGAGGGTGTAAAGAGGGAGAGGTGGAAAGAGAGAGCGTCTAAAGAGGTAAAGGTAGAAAGAGAGAGGATATAAATGGGCAGAGGTGGAAATGGAGAGGGTGTAAAGAGGGAGAGGTGGAAAGAGAGAGGGTGTAAAGAGAAAGAGATGGAAATAGAGAGGGTGTAAAGAGGGAGAGGTGGAAAGAGAGAGGGTATAAAGGGAGAGAGGTGTAAAGAGGGACAGGTGTAAAGAGGGAGAAGTGGGAAGAGGGGGAGGTGGAAAGAGAGAGGGGGTAGAAAGAGGGTGAGGTGGAAAGAGTGAGGGAGGAAAAAGGGAGACGTGGAAAGAGAGAGGGAGGAAAGAGGCAGAGGTGGAAAGAGAGAGGGTGTAAAGAGGGAGAGGTGGAAAGGGAGAGGGTGTAAAGAGGGAGAGGTGTAAAGAGAGAGAGGTGGAAAGGGAGAGGGTGTAAAGAGGGACAGGTGTAAAGAGGGAGAGGTGGAAAGAGAGAGGGTGGCAAGAAGGAGAGATCGAAAGAGATAGGGAGGAAAGAGGGAGGTGGAAAGAGAGAGAGAGAAAAGAGGGAGAGGTGGAAAGAGAGAGTGTGGAAAGAGGGAGAGGTGGTAAGGGAGAGGGTGGAAAGAGGGAGAGGTGGAAAGAGAGAGGGTGTAAAGAGGATGAGGTGGAAATAAAGAGGGTGGAAAGAGGGAGAGGTGGAAAGAGAGAGGATGTGGTGGTGATGATTGTGGTGGTGGTGGTGATGATTCTGGTGGTGATGATGGTGGTGGTGATGATTGTAGTGGTGGTGATGATTATAGTGATAATAACTTGTCGGTTATTATTTATTATTTTTTTAAAGTTCATCTGTTATTTATTTATTAGTAATTTATATACTGTTGAGGGGTCACCCCTTTTTATACAAATGAACTCACCCAGTATATACATATACTACTGCAAGAGCGAGACGAGAGTAAGAGAGAGCAAGAATCGAGTCGAGTCCAGAGTGACAGAGTAAAAGGTTGTAGGTAACCGGAAGAGTGAGGGTGAGGTAACAGCGTTGTAGGAGTCAACAAGGAACGCGATCCCCAGTGAGGATACAGAATGGGGATCAAAAAGTCTGCAACTGCAACAAATTCTACTCAACGACAACTAGAGGAAAACTACACCAGGGACAGTCCTCGCAGTGGCATTCTTTATTCATTAATAGAAAATCCCATTAAAAAAATTTTCTATGGAAGAGTATATTGAAGTATATTTTACACCGCTACGATAAATCTGACAACGACAACAATAGCCAAAGCTGCCCATTTGGCGAGAAAAACACCCTTCAAACAGACTAAACATCGATGCCAACAAACTAGCCAATGTCAGGCGTGATATCATCAGGAAAAATAGAATACTTGACATAGAACTTGAAAGCATCCGAGAAAACATCAAAAATTGATTAAACGTTAACATCGGGGGTCTAAATGCCAACAACTCAGAGGAGATACATGCAGAGGAACAAATAGAAACCAGTTGTAATAATCCCTCTGATTTACACAAGCAAATAGAGGAAGATAATGACGAGAAACAGAGATGACAAAAACATCCTATATATATATATAATGTAAAGAAATTTTTTTCGAGGAAAGGCCGACAATTCCAAAAGTAAGAAAGAACTGTCATGTGGAGGAAACCCTCAACCATGCTACGCAAGCAATTGGAAAAATAAGAGACGAAGTGGAAATACCGATAACGCTGACAGAAATTAATCATTTTATATACGTAGCCTCAGCAACGATCGCAGAAACAATAGATGAAAAATAAAAACAACGGAAATGAAAAAGAAAAAATGCCAGTCTGAAAGAAATAATAAAAACCGAAATAAAAAGAAACTACGAGGGTAATTGTCATTTATTAGTAAGTAGACAAAGGCTCCAAAGTGAAAGAAAGAAAAAGAAGACAAATGAAACGAAAATTTAAAGAGAAGCTGAAACAACAAATTCAAACGAAGGTAAAGAATCAGGTGTTATGAAAAAAGAATAAGATTCTTCTGGCAAAACAAGAACTTCAAAGAATATGCCAAGAAATTATATGAAGAACTTGGAAAAAATAAAATAGAGATAAATCACTCAACTAATATTCAGGAAGTCAAGAAGTTCATGTGTAAGATGTGGGAAAACTGTCAAATGCACAATGGAAGTTCTACATGGATCAAGCAACAACAGAGACAGCACCCATATATAGAGTACCAAAAATGGACGGATCTCAATATTACTGAAACAAACGCTGCCATCTGAAAAACCAAAAACTGGAAAGCACGAGGAATGGACCGAATAGCCAAGTTTGGGGTGAAAAAAAAAACAAACTATTTAGTTCCTCGCACTGTCATACAATCATGAACCCAGAAAAATGTTCCAAACGGTTCACGTCGGGAGTAACATACCTACTGCCAAAAACAGACGCAGAATCCGAATAACTATAGGCCCATCACAAACCTACGAACAATGAACAAAATCCTCACTTCTATCATAACCGAGACGTCTTCATTGAAAAAACAAACAATTTACTTCCAGCAGAACAGAAGGAATGTAAAAGAGGAAGTTACGACTGCAAGGACCAACAAATTATCAATAAAACAATATTGGAAGATGAGAAAACAAAGACAAGAAACTTAATAACGACATGTATCAATTATAGAAATGTGTTCGACATTGTTCCACGCTCATAAATAAAGAAGAGTTTAACAATATACAGAATATGCCTCACAACGGTGAAATTCTTAACGGAGAGCATAAAATCTGGAAGACAACACTAAATCTAAACCATACAAACGCGTCATTAACATCGAGACCAATCAACATCAAAAGAGGGATATTCCCATGAGATTCATTAACACCCACTACCATTCTGCCTTGCATTAGCGAAACTCAGCTGCCTAATGAACAATAGTAACCACGGATACAAATCACAGAATGGCAAACGGAATCACTTATTTTATATTGATGATCTTAAAGCGTTTGCCAAGGATGACAACCGGCAGAAAAAACCTAATCACTATTGTCAAAGCCTTCAGCGAAGACACTAGGATAGAGTTCGGAATCGACAAATGTGCTAAAGCCACTTTCATTGGCGTTAAACTAACGAAAACTACAGATTTAGACGTTGATATCAACAACACGATTAAGGAACTAGACCAAGATGGGACACGCAAATACTTAGGAATTAATGAAGAAGAAGGAATATAACATTCAATTATAAAGAAAAAGATCTGAAAATTATATAGAAGAGTGCGTTTGATACTCGAAAGCGAACTAAATGGGGCCCCAATAAAATGAGGATTATCTACAATTTACCTATACCCTGTAATATACAACTTCAACATTATTAAAGAATTTGAATGACATTAAAAGAATGGACGCCAAGACCAGAAAAAATGCTTACCCAAATAAAACAAATAAGTAGCTTTATTCTGAAGCTATAAAAATCAAAATGAGATTTAAGTGAATGAAGAAGAGCAAGTCAGCCATAATCCCTCCACTGCAGTAGCAAAGAACCTAAAAAGATGGCAAAAGCAAATGTAATGGACCAAATGTTGAAACAATGTCAAGATGAACTGCTTCATTGTCAACACTTCCCCACTGCCAAACTAACTGCTATAGAAAAACCCCATAACCATGAGTTTGCGTAGTGTAGGATTAAACACTAAACCTGAAGGTTTTATTCTTCCTCAACAACTAGAATTTATCACGCAAACTGAAAAATGGAAGTAACCCTGGCAGGGTTAGGATTAGGGTTATATTCTCTCTTATATCAGCTTAAAAAGTTTCCAAAAATTCTAGTAAAGGCTGTAAATATCCACCTCGAATTTCCTCTGGATACTAAAATGGATTTTTATAAAAATTTGCTGAATTTCATTTTCATTATCGTCGGTTCTAATTTTTGTAGAATTATCGCCATCATTTTTTTTCGAAAAAATATTTCTTCAGTTTGCGGCAACGGACAAATTGAAATACATTGAGTTAATTTATCTGTTAAAGGTTCTAGTACTTGGGCAAAAATTCAATCCAAGCTCGAAGACAGACATTTTATTTTCTTTACTGGGTACATGAAAATTGTTTAGTATGAGAATTTGATGCGGAGGTTATCTGATATAAGTAACGAGAATTTTTGGAAGCCTTTTTAAGATTGCCATTTGCCATGATAATTAAATGATAAGGATTTAGTTGTGTGTTTATTGAACATGGTGGCATTTGATTTTTGCTTTCCAGGAGGTAACAAATCTATTATTTTCAAGACAGAATTGGAAATACGACCTCAATTTGGCTTGGCCAAAAAAAAAAAAACTTTTCTGGAGAATTTCCCATGACTAATTCAAAAGCATATACTAATGCATAATGTCAACAATCATATGAGCCAGCTTGAAACTGGATATGAGAACTTGTTGGATATTAAGACTTATGTCAGTTTGTGGTTAGTAGAGTGAAATGATTTGTACAATGAGTTGACGATACGTGTCCAAAAAGTTGATAGTCAAAGTAAAGTGTTTGATTTTTATGTGATGCATAAAATTGTGCTGTGTGAACAATATATATGAAGATATCAGAAAACAGTAGGTTGTATCAGATTTTCAAGAAATTTGGTAGTAACTTGTGTCAAGCCATTGTCCACAAATCGGTCGCATAGCAGTTGTCCAGAAAGTAAGTAAGTTTTCTCCGTGTCTCTCAAATTAAAATATTCCAACCAAAAAATATTGTCTGGTGGTATCAGTAAAAATGGTTATATATATATATATATATATATATATATATATATATATATATATATATATATATATTTTCAGTTTCTTCAATTTCTTTGAATGTAAAGAGGAAATGAGTGGGATGGGATTCAGAAGAACAAACTTGTGCGAGTTCACTTAATCTTGGTTTGATTTCCATAATTAGAGTGATCAATTTAGAGTTGTTAAATTGAATAACAGAATCGATAAAAAGGAAAGAATTGGTCTTTCCAATTCATTTACACTCTTCATGAAGCGAGTCATCTGCTCGCGATGCACACATAGGTGAAGGTTTGATGTCAAACCATCAGGAACGATCTGTTGACGTAGGCATGGATAGAAAACTGAGGATGCTATTTTAGCCGAAAAACAGGGAAATACTTTATGGAAACGAACGCAGATTTTTAACACTAAGAATCATAATCGGATAAAACAACGGCATTTGGTGCAGGGTTCAATTCTAGCGCCAAGTGAAACTAAAACGGCTGACCAACGGACAGCGAATATAAATGTCGACATTTATGTTGGTACTGTCTTTCAAAAACAATAGTTTTTTTTCTTTAGAAATATGTCTCCACTCTTATTCTGTGTAACATTATATCCACATGATCTCAGTCGACTTCTGATGTTGGAAAAGTTACGTCAATCATTTTATATGTTAATAATAATAATAATAATCAGCTGGACCGGCGGAAATTTCAGGTTTGTTAACAACTAAAATAATCTATGATTTCAAACCATTGATGTTTCTCTCTTTGCATGTATCTTTTCATTCTCACACATTACCGTGAAATAAGAAATACACAGATATTTTTACTGCATTTTCTCTTTTGTCTTTCTTTTTCTATATCCCCACATAAAATGTTTAATGCATCACCATATTTAAACATTTCTATCCCTACATCTTTATTTCATTGTCTTTTGATAGTCAGACAGCAAGGCTATTTCTCTTCTTTTCGATTTCATTCATTCATTCATTCATTTCGTACTTTCTATATAAACTA